ATTTTATACAAGGAATATAATTTTAAACATGCAAAGTTTTTTCTACTTTTTATGCAATTCACACATTCACAAGTTTAGATTTAGTACAAACTTTAATGCACTATTTTCAATAAAACTATTTAATTTTGAATTAAAATTCATTTATAAAGAATAAAATAATTTTTATAAAATTATAGTTTCGTAAATATTTTTATTAATACATGGAATTACAGTTTATAATAAATCTAAACTTGTGAACAAATAAGTATGAATTGCATAAAAAGTATGAAAAATTTTGCATGTTTTAAATTATACTCCTTGTAAAAAATTTTGGTTATTACTGACATGGACAAATAATATACCAAACAAAACCCTAACTATCCAGCTACAATTTAGTAAATAAATGAATAAAATAAACAAGTTAGTATTTAAATAAATTAAAATCAAATTATTGTTGCCATATTTGGCCACCCTGTACTAAATAAATTAATAATTACTAGTATAATTAACATTAAATTACGCTAAACAATATTAATGAGAAAGTGTTAATAAATTCTGTATTTTAAAATTATTTATTAATTTATAACTACCATATGAATATTGAATACTAAAAATATAATCTTGGTATAAAACCCTAAAATATACTCTATGATAAAATGCTGTATTATATAAATTTTTTAAAAATTTAATTTATTTTATAAAATTATTAAAAGTAAATTACATTATGTTAATCTTAAACTGTAATAAAATTTCAATTGCTTAAGAAAATATCAATAAAAGTATTATTACTAAATTATTGGAAAAAAGCCGACTAAAGAATATTTTGTGATTTTTATTTTTTAATTAAATTTTTAATTTATAAACTATTTTTACACACTATACAAACAATGGGCAGCCGTACAAACCCATTAGGGGCCTATGATGGAGGCGCCGCACTGGTGACTCCCATCAAATCTGAGCGAGCACATGTGCGGTTTATCACCAGGTCAAGCATCTTGACCACATATGATCATAACATTACCATCAGTATCACCAAAATTACCTGATCTAAAAAATTTGCTGTAACTAATAAATTAAAAATAATTATCAATAACATATTCTATAGTGTTTGAATATGTTATGGATTTAATATTTTCCTTGATGAATTTATTTTAAAGAGCTATTCTTTTATATAGCATAAAAACTAAACCAACATCGCATAAAACAATGTCAAATATGACATACCTAAATATTTTAGAAATATTTTTTTAATAAATAAACATTGTAAACTTGTTTGATTCTCAATGTGGCCAAGCTAATTCCACATGAAAACTTCACTGACCCTAATTATGACATTGCCTTTTAAACATTGTAAACTTGTTTGATTCTCAATGTGGCCAAAACTAGCCTATATCCATTATAACATATAGGGTATAGGCTACTTATTGGCCATCTTGAGATTCAAATGAGTTTACCTTTCACACAAAATAAATTACTCAAGAACACCTTGAAACTTATTTAATCTACTATATTCCCATGAGTAAGGTCAAAAACTTTCTATGACTCATAATTTTGTTTTTGTCTCGTTGTACCAGTTATGAGATTTTGTCTTGATTATTTATAAATAATTATAGTAACATTTTTAAATTTTAAAACGATATTTTGTCACATTTTATTATGATATAATTTATAACGAAAACTGTAATATAAATTCAAATACCCTAAAGGTTAGCTTATTCAATTATTTGATTAATTTAACTGAATTAAAAATTCTAGAAGTTTTAAATATTTCTATAAATTTTATAACGTAATTCTCTTATTGTACAAACAAGGCAAAACAAACAACATCTACAAACCAACATATCATAGATTAATTAAAATACAAGTTTTTAAAAGCAATTTTAATTTTAAATCACCAAAAGTTTCTCGTAAAGAATTTTATTTCAAATTTATTTTCAAAACATATTTGGACTTATTTGTTAAATAATCCTAAGTAATAATCTATGCAAACTGTAACTCTAGTACAGCCCATATAAACATATAAGTTTAGCAAAATGTTTTGAAACACATGTAGACTTATTATGGAGCCGGTAGTCCAATAATTGGATAGTCAAATAATAATTATTATTATCAATATCTAAAGAGCAAGGTCAAAATATTTCTATGACTCATAACACATTATGGTCTAGGGGTACGGATTATCAGATTAAGTACAAATACAGGATATATTAATTTTCATAGACATATTATTTATTATATTATTAATTTCAAGATAATTATAATAACTTTATAATCTAGATATAATAATTTATTTTCTATTCGAAATAATTTATAACTACAATAAACTCTATAATAATTTTAATTTATATTTGTGTGTATTTCCGTATCCAATTCCTAAACTTGCTGACCCTTGTATAAACACCAGGGTAATGTGGTTGAGCGCAACCTTGTCCCCATGATACTATACCTACCAAGGTATCATTATATTTTAATGGACCTCCGGAATCGCCCTATATAAAAATAAATAATTAATTTGTTTAATAAAAATAGCAATGCACTTTAACTGAATTCTTACACCACAAGCATCCTTTTGACCCTGGTCATAGCCAGCACAAAACATTTTATCTGTAACTGGCATCCACCTTTCGTAGTCCTGTACGCATATAACCCTGTCTATCACCGGTAGGTCAACTGTCTGTAACTTTTCAGGGTATATCTGACTAGCATTTAGACCCCAACCCGTTGCCGTTGCAAACGCACCTACAGGTGCGATATCTATATCCTGTTCAGGTAGGTATATTTTATCAATGGCTGGTGTACCAAGTTCAAATTCGCCAATAATTTGCAATAGCCCAATATCGTTATCGTGCATTGGAGCAGTGTAGTTTTCATGCGATATGACTAATTCCAAATGAAAATCATAGCCAGGTACTTCGCGTAATAATGTACCGCAGCGTAAAAGTAAGTTTGCTGCTGGCTGACTATATTTTTTTGTATAATAGATATAAAATGGTTTTAATAAAATATATTTATTATTATATAATGTAAGGTATTAATTAATATATTGTATTGTATTAATAGAACTAGTTTATAGTAAATATAATTATATATAAAATTTACCTTTATAACTGTAAGTTTATATATTTGTTAATTATATTGACTATATATTTTTTAATTTTTTGATTATTCATATAAATAATAATATATAACATATTGCAACGTACCCGTAGATACAGTGGGCGCTTGTGACCACCCATTGTGAGCTTATTATGGATGCCCCGCATAGGTGTTCACCGCTCACCCTCAGGGAGCACATGTGCGGGTTATCCCCCGCTTTAGCATCATGACCCCCATAAATCCTAAAACCAGTATTTTTATAATGACCAGGTCCAAATTTCGTTGGCAATGCTATGCAGCCAGTGCCCAATATAAATATGATATAATATGTAATTTGCATTTTTATAGCTATATAAATAAGTAGACTTATTAAATATGATTAAATGCGGTTATATTTATACAGTTATAATATTTAAACAAACTAGGAAACTATTTATTGTTTTAAGTAAGAATTTATTTATCATTTTTAATGGTACTTGTTAAGTATTTCTAAGAATCAATTCATTTATAAGTATTTTCTTATGACATAAGTGTTTACATAATCTGATAAAATATGACAATAATTTAAAACATATTTAAAACTACACTTTTATTAATAAATATACAGGAACATCTGAGATTATTTTTGAAATAAATTTATAATTATGATCAATGTTTGTGATAAATAAGTTACATTTATAGTTTTTGTTTAAATTTAATTTTTAAAAAATTACTATCTTAATGTATTATTTAAGTGTTATGGTAGATTAAATGTTATTAAGGAATTACTAAGAAATTAGTATTTATTATCGTTAACAAGTGGCACTTGATCATGATCACTTAATGACTGTTATATAATACAAATACGTATGTACGATATTTCTTAACAATTTGATCATGCTTCAATCACGACTTAAACCTTAAACATACCGGTAAGTTGAATCATGAGCTATTTCTAGTTAATATGTACCTGTTCACGTTAATTAAAAAATAGCCTCTTATCAATTTAAGTGAACTTATTTTATTAATTTAATTCGATAAAGTTTTTATAGCTATTAATTAACTGAATATCTCTGAGTTATTTATAAATATTTATATAAGAAAATAAAATATTTAAATAGTCAATACATTTATTTATTTCAATTCGCATAGTATATGTATTATATCTTGTCAAAAATGACATAGAGCAAGTGTTATTTACTAATGTAATAACTTTATTAAAATCAATATTGAATATAATCCCATTATAATAAAAATTCAAGTTTATATTAATTTTTAAAATATTTTTTTAGCATCATTACAGTTAATATCAACTTTGTAATTTTATTACTTTTTTCTTTATAAAAGATTTATAGCTAATATCTATTTATTATTATCTCCTTTTGTAGTTAACTAATATTATAAATAATTCTTATTGTTCAATTAATGTATAATCTTAAAAATATATATTTAAAATGCAAATTAAAAATTTAACTTACAAACACGATGTCAAGGTATTGATCAATGTTAATATAATTTGGTGAAATTAACAAAATAAAATAAGCTTATTAAATGATATATAAATATGTAAAAATTATTTTTGTAACTTCAATAGTTAAAAAGTTATTCACGTTTAAAAATACAACAATTTCTTACAGTTTGCCGTATATTTTCAGACTAATTTTTCAGCTATTTTTTCAACTTTGTGCCAACCCACTAAATCGATTCCCAATCGAAAAATAAAATGTCAATTTTAAAAATCCATCAATAACGTCATAGCGTATCTTCGTTATTTATGGTTAGAAAAATTTTAGAATGCGATTTTTAGAATCAGCTATGAAAATAATGTAATTTAAAATTATTTTCATCCATAAATAACGTACTTGTTAAAAACGTCATTTATGGATTTTATTTTCACAAAATTATTTTTCAAAGGGGAATCGATCTAGGGTATAAGTTCAAGTTCTGAAAAATTGTGCATGTCAATTATTATTTGAAAAATCATATTACCCCAAAAGTCTCAAGAATTTCTCTTAATTAACATATTGTAGACTAATAAAGCTATTAAAATAAATATTCATACCCTTGAGACTTTTGGGGTAATACTATTGAATTCACGTTTATTTTTTTAAAACATTTTCTGGTACAAGTTTAATATTTTAAAAAATATTTTTGAATAGAATTAACAAGGCTTATATGTATATATAATTTAGGGAAGAAACTAATTAAAAATCTAATGTGGTTTACTTTTTATTTAGGTTTGAAATATAAGAATAAAAACCAGTCTAACTCATTAATCCTTACAGTTAGAATAATAATTTTTTTATTATTTGTCATTATTAACTTCATATATTTTTATGGTAATACCAAAAATTCTTAATTTAAATAAAAATTTTTAGTTTTACATGGTGTTTATTCCATGATTGATTATTATTGCTGATCACATCTAAGAAAAAAGTTTGTTGTGAAAAATTAGTTTTTGACAGTTCGTGTCCATAAATAATGTCCTAGAAACTTATACTTTAATTATGAGTTTATTATTTAATTTTTTAAAAATAAATTAATTATAAATTACAATAAATCTTGTAAATATTTGTGTCCACTATTAATGAGATTATCATTAGTCATAAATTTCTTTTCAATATCAGCTACATGTTGACAACATTTTGACCAATAATTACCATCGATTCTATTAAATGACTCGTGAATTAAATTAAAATACTCGGTTTTAGTTTTCCTTATGTTATGAATTTCAACATAACTTTTCATTTCAGCCCAAATTAATTCT